AATTCATTGTCTATTATGACTTGCTTGGTAACATGTTTCACTCCCTCCTATCCACTTGATTATTGAGCCTATTGTTTATTTTTCGCTTTGAAGTTGCAATGAAAATAATTTCATCCAATAACTAATATGCTACTGAGCAAGCATGCTTATTTACATACCCCATAATATTTGAGGATCAATCAACTCCAGATAATGGAGCTTTGACAAGAAAAAGAGTACTGAACTACTTCACCAAAAAAAAAAGAAAAGAAAAAAGGAGTACTACTGAACAATGAGAGTTATCTATATATCACCTTAGTTAAAGCAATTATAACTTGATTGTGTGAGTTTCTAATTTTCAGGCTACACAGTCTATAAAGAATGTGCTAATATTATATCTCTTCTTTAATGACATCCTTTGCTGTTTTAGCAAATGTGCTACAGTCACACAATCAAGCTATAATTGCTTTAACTAAGGTGATATTGTTAGCACCAAAAGTCGAATAGTCATTTGCTGTCCGCTTGATGTCTGTCATGTTTACCTTTTTATATTCGAGCAGATGCTCTCATAACAGTTGAGAAAAATATATGCAGGACACCTGAAATGTCTGCTATGCATCATGACACATCCTCTGATTTGAGAGTGGTTGGCGACAAGTTGAAAGATATCTTAGAGGTATTAGCTCTTCCCCTTTCAATACCTCCCAAGGAAAAAAAGAGAAAAAATGCTTTTTGATGTGGTGTGGCTATTATTCCTTCTACAAAAGTTTGCACAGTATCATTTCTTTGGTCATATTGCTTTGGAGCAAATAGAGAAATTGTTTTAATTAGGACTGATGGCAACGAATCAAATTTAAATTTTCGGTCTCAAGGAAGTGGAAATCAAATTGTTGATTTTTACTCCCTTACAGCAATTAGTTTTACTGTTAGCATTTGATATGATGATACAACATGAATTGAAACTAGATATATTTTGTTCATCGTATTTCAGATATCCAATACCTCCTTGAAGACAAGGAGATTAGTTGTTGAGCTGTGTAATATTGTTGCAACACGTGGCGCCAGACTTGCGGCAGCTGGGATCTTGGGCATTATCAAAAAGATGGGAAAGGATACACCCAGGGAAAGTGGTCCAGAAAAGATTGTCGTAGCCATGGATGGCGGATTGTACGAACATTATACAGAATACAGTAAGTGCTTGGAGAACACTTTGGTTGAATTGCTTGGAAAGGAAATGGCCACAAGTATTGTTTTCAAGCACGCGAATGATGGTTCTGGCATTGGCGCTGCACTCCTTGCGGCCTCTAACTCCGTGTATGTTGAAGACAAGTGAGAGTGATCAAAATGATATTTAGCTAGAGGAAACTCCATTTACCTTTTATATTATGTTTTTTCTCTAGCCTTTTCTTTTTGGATTCTCTCTCCTTTTTGGTTCTTCTTACAATTATTTCCAGAATTGTACTTGGTTTTCTAGGATATTATTCCTGGGAATGCCACCATATTTCTTCTGGAAAAGGGTGCAAAGAAATTATATGAAACTCAGCATTGCTTATTCTCCCCTTTGGTCTTTTGTTTTCCTACTGCAATCAAATTTTGTAGGGTTTAATAAAATGGGATATTATTTCATTGCTAGACTTACCTGGTTAGCTAACATGTTAGTTAAACCCGCAACCGAACATGGAAGGAGGGTGCTTATTATCCGAGCAACTCTCTCTTGTCCATGTTGTTGTTGCTTCTTCATCTTTAGACCTTTGGGCCGATTTCAAACCGTCGGTCTACTAATGCTTCATCAACATACACAGTAAAATTCCACAAGGGTAGAGTTATGTAAACGTCATTTCTATCTCAAGGAATGTTTTGAAGGACCCTTTGGCTCAAGTGCAACGATTCTTTATTAGTTTTGACTATTCTTTATAGAGGTCCCAAAAACACCTATTGGATCAAAACAAAAAATAATGGTAGGTTTTGATGCTATCCGTTTTGCTACATTTTCCATCTATACTCGCAAAATAAAAGATAAATTTATATAATTAGATCCATCACAAATTAAATATCAAATAGAAGTTTTAATTAGTAAATTGACCTTTGATATTACAACTTAAATTAGAGTGCAAAAAGTCTTTCACAGTTCATATACACATGGTAATTAATACAACTCAAATTCAATCATAATATATTAAGTCTGCATCAAACATCGAAGTAAACGATAGTGGGAGTTGTTATCAATTTATAGATAAATAAAAAGACAGCGATTGATTAATGGCTGAACCAAATTATGGTTTCATCTTTAAAAATAAAGTTATAATTTGTGGTCCTTTAGGGTCTTAAAAATGGATGGATTTAGACAACTCTACTTTACTTTATCTTTTTTAGAGTATGCACCAAAATATATATTAATGTGTAAGAATTACTATTAAGGTTAATAAGATTAGATTACACGATATTCCAATCGTACGCCATCGAAAATTAAGAACGAAAGATCAACTAATAATATCTTTAAGGTTTAAGCTTATACTCATAATTAGATAATTGACCTGCCACTCTCTTATTTTTTTTTATTATTATTATAGAATAATATAAAAATACTTTTTTTTTTCAAATAGAAGTCCAAATCTACTACTATTATTAGTAAAATATAATGGGTGATTCCAGTTCATGAGATCTACAGTATCTGAACCAATTAAAGAAAGATTTTTTTTGAAATTTGAAAAGATAAGCTCGTATCTGTTATGTCTGAGAAATCGAGAGTTCCACCATAACTAACTTACCCTTTTTACCACCTGTAAATTAAAAGTTTATCAGTTCACAATTCTAGCCTTCTAAAATTAGTCTTAAATTTTTTTATTAATATTAGATTAAATTTTAAGACAAATATATTATTTGGACTAAACTTAAATTACCTAGATCTCTAACTTTGATCCAGACCCTAATGAATCGTTTGGTAACGCTAGTAAAAATAATTCATGTACTAACTTCGGTATATAATTTATATTTCCTCTCTGCAATAATAATTGTTTATTTTAGACTTGACACACACCTTAATAAATAAGAAATAATAAATAATAGAGATATTTATTATATTAACCTTTGAATATACTCCCTACGTTCTTTTACTTGTCATTTATTTCTAAAATAATTTCTTTTTAATCGTCACTTTTTAACATATCAAGAAAAAATAATTATTTTTTCCATGTTTTACCCTCGATATTAAATACTTATTCTCCAAATCATTTTTCAATACCTAATAGTAAGAGTCTGTTTGGCATTGCTGCTAAAAATTGCTTATTTTTAGAAGCGTTTTTTTAATTAGCTTTTCAGAAAAGTATTTTTCAAAAAAAGCAATTTGTTTTTGGCAAATCCATTTAAAAAGTGTATTTGATAAACAATTTGTGTTTGGCTAATTATTTTTAAAAAAAAATATTTTTGTGAGTCAAATCAAGAAAAATGACAAGTATCAATGTGCTTTTGATATTAAAATTATTTTATAGAGAGAAACTATTTTAAACATCTAATACATACACTTTAATTACATTTTTAATTTAATTAATTAAAATGTACATATTCAAATTTTCAATCAATATTATACATAGATAAATATTGTTGAAAAATATTGAAAAAAGGAATCATTTTGTTATTTGTTACCTATTTTTTTGGATTCAATCTTAGTTATATATAATGAACAAATAAAGATGGACATATCAAATATAATGGTCTATAGCTAGCTATGAAAGTTATTTATGTATAAAACAAATGTAGTAAACAAATTTAGTATTGTTTGTAATTTAGAAAATCGAGTAACTGATGCATTAATATGTTATGAGAAAATATATACTATTATTTTATATGAGGATAGAAGATGAAATAACTATTACTTATAAAACAAATAATTTATACATAGTTTAGTTATTTTATTTATAAAATATTATATAAATGCCTTCAATTATATACTAGTTAGGCGAATTTGTAAAGCATAAATAATATCGTATTAATTTTATGTAGATTTTACACTAATTTCATAATATTAAGAGTTAATTACATCATATATATACTCTTTTCCAAATTATAAAAATCTTTTAAATTTGGTGAAACCCGTATACATCACAAAAAGTCTCAATAAATCGCATCTCGATTTTGAATACATCCCTCAACGTCCTGATACACCATGTCTCAATTTCGAATACATTACTCAACGTCTCGACATATTGTGTATGCACTGATACATGCGTAAAATGATGTATCCAATCTATACATCCGATACATCACGTAAAGTAAAGTTTTGATAAATAGCATACGTCCTGATACATTGCGTAAAATAATGTATCTGACTTACATGATGTATTCGATCTATACATCGCATAAAGTGATGTATCCAACTCATTACGTAAAGTAAAAAATTTTGTAATTTTTTCAAATGCTCAAAATTTTAAAAAATATAATAAAATAAATTATGTATTTAGATAATTTTTCCTTAATTTTATAGGTGAATAATTTACATTTTAATCAGCTGCTATATGTGGCTTCAAAACGAGCTACAAAACAACCCCTAATACCATAGGCTGCTCCTTAATTCAAAATCCCCGGATTTGTAGGAAATTTGAAAAAATAAAACTCCTTTGTATACCACCTCAAAACAATTAAGCAATTAATTACGTTCTAATGTAGAATTAATTGGAGTGATTATATAAACCTTTTCACACTTAGATATTTTTACTCCTCTCAGTCCTCCTCGCCTTCCAAAAATATACTTAAAAGAAAACAGAGAGATCTGCTTTCTCCCCACCATTTCCTCTGTTTCTTCCAATAGTAATAACTTATTGGAAGATCTTCAATGGCAGAGTTTTCTGAACAAATCGTTTTAAGTCAATGAAAAAATCAGCTGCTGATACGGAGACCCATATCGGAAGGATCTTTTTTCTATTAACACCCTTTTTGGCTCGTACACAACTGAAGTGATCAAATTTCAAGCTAACATTTTTGGTAAGTGCTTTTAATGGTGGTAGTGAAAAAAAGAAAAATTTACAGTACAAATTCATTTTTGGGTCTGTTAGCAAATCCCGTTTTGGATGTTTCTTTTTAATAGCTCAAGAAGAAGAAAGCCTTATAATGGGTCTCTGTTATATCCACAACAAATTCACGGGGGTTGTGTCAGCCGCTGAAAAATTTGGTGGTGGGGTTTAATGGTGGGGTGAAGTATTTCTTCATTTTTATTTTATTTCACGTTGCTCCAGAAAGTTAAAGAGAGAGAGTAAAGTATCTTTGAGATTATTAAGGTAAAAAAAGTGAAGAAAGTTTGTTTCTTTTTTAAAAATCTTTAATTCAGTGGGCTATAGAGAAAAATTAACAAGATTGGTTTTTCTTTTGAAGTTTCATGCATTTTTGGTGATTATTGCTACTTTTTGCAGTTTTGATGATTTTGTCTGTTAAATTTGAGTTTTTTGACCAAGAAATGGGGTTGGGGGTGCAGGTAAATGATTATGCTTTATGTAAGTTACTTGAGTTTCTTACTGGTGGAAGTTATAATACCTTATTTTTGAACTGCAGGAGGAGGCAATAGTTTGAACCAATTTAAAAAATCGTAGTTCAAACTTATTCAATGATTCTTTTTTCTTTTTTGGGTATGTAGTTTATTGTTTGTTTGGTGGTGAAGTTTCATTCAATCTTTTTTGCCCCCATTATATTAATATTTTTTTTAAAACATATTTGTTGCTGCCACACCTTTTTGTCTTGTTTCTCAGTTCTTCACGAGGTTGTGTCAGTATGAAATTTTTTCCCCTAAAAAATAAAAACCCAATCTTTAACCCAAGTATTAATTATTATATACTGTTTGATACCTTTTATTAAGTAACTTTTTCCTCCACACTGCAATGTTCTGTTCTCAACACTTCGTTGCTCGCAACATGTAAAGATTCTGAAAGTTTCTGTCTATTACTCTATATCTCTCTTTTATCACATTTTGTGACATTGGCTTTATTATTTCTTCAGTTTGTAGAGAATGGGGAAAGCTTCAAGATGGTTCAAAGGGTTGCTTGGGATGAAGAAAGACAAAGAAAATGTAGACAATATGTCGAATTCATCCGACAAGAGAGATAAGAAAAGATGGAGTTTTGGTAAGTCGTCTAAAGAATCTATGGGTGTTGGGGAGAATCCAGTGAACTTTCCGGGAGGTGTGCCGGCGGTGGATTCTAATTGGCTGAGATCTTACATTTCTGAGAATGAGAAGGAGCAGAGTAAGCACGCAATTGCTGTGGCTGCAGCTACTGCGGCAGCAGCAGATGCCGCGGTAGCTGCAGCGCAGGCGGCTGTTGCGGTGGTGAGATTGACTAGCAAGGGCAGGGGTGCTATGTTTACAGGTGGGCGGGAGAAATGGGCTGCTGCTAAGATTCAAACTGTTTTCAGGGGTTATTTGGTAAGTCATTAATGTTGAAAAATTTGAATCATTTTTTTTAATAAGTTTTTTATGGTAGCTTAAAATGTCAGCAAAGTACCTTCCGAACATTCTAATCGAGCAGTACTATTGCCTTTGATTTTCATGCTGGTCTATGAAATTATTGTCTGTTTTACCTATACAACATTTATACTTTCCCTCATTTAATGCCATCCAATAAATTTGAAATTTGAAATTGTAGTAGTAGTATCTGAATTTGGTCTTTGGAGTGATGTTGAAGTTTCATTTCACTTTTCACTTTTTTTTTTGCTTTATGTTTTATGTTATGTTTGTTTCATTGTCTTAAAAGTTGTTTAATATACAAGATCTAATTCTGGGCTTTTTTTATTTTATTTTTGCAGGCCAGAAAAGCTCTTAGAGCTCTCAAAGGGCTGGTGAAATTGCAGGCTCTAGTAAGGGGCTACCTTGTCCGAAAAAGAGCTGCTGCAACTCTTCACAGTATGCAGGCGCTCATCAGAGCGCAGGCTGCTGTTCGATCTCAAAGAGCTCGTCGTTCAATGACTAATGACACTAGACACCAACCCGAGATCCGAGCTAGGAGGTCCATTGTAAGAATCTAGTTCTCCCTAGGGTTTATTCTAGTTGTGTGAATTGAGGAGTTGTTGATTAGTTAATCTTGTTCTGTTTTGGTTTTGATTTGGCAGGAAAGATTTGATGAATATAGAAGTGAATTCCATAGCAAGAGGCTTTCAACTTCGAATGATACATCGTATGATGGATTTGATGAAAGCCCGAAAATTGTAGAAATTGACACATTCAGGACCAAATCCAGATCACGTAGAATGAACAATGCTTGTATGTCTGAATCTGGCGATGAGCAGCATTATCAAGCTATGTCATCACCACTCCCCTGTCCACTTCCAGCTCGTCTATCGATCCCAGATTGCCGTCATCTTCAGGATGTTAACTGGAGCTTTCTAGCAGACGAACAATGCAAGTTCGCCTCTGCACAAACTACTCCTCGCTTTGCAGGTTCTGGACGGTCCAACGCACCACCTACACCAGCCAAAAGCATTTGTGGTGATGGATACTTCCGAGCTTATGCCAACTTTCCTAATTACATGTCTAACACACAGTCATTTCGTGCTAAGTTACGGTCCCATAGTGCACCAAAGCAAAGACCAGAGCCAGGGCCAAAGAAGAGGCTGTCGCTGAACGAAATAATGGCATCAAGAACAAGTTTTAGTGGAGTTAGAATGCAAAAGTCTTGTTCTCAAGTGCAAGAAGAGTACTGTTTCTGAGTAATTTTTGAATTATAGATTATAAGATATGACTGGCTGTATAGAGAAGAAAGATAATCTAAAAAAGTTGAACTTCTCTAGTGCTTATCCTTTCAAAGAAATGGTGACAAATTAGTACTAGGAAAGAATGGGTGTGCTTGTGTAAATTCTTTTGACACTGTTTTTATGAATGAATCTTTCTTCTTGAATGTATCCAGTGAAAGGTTTTTATCAAATCTTCAGCATTCTAACATTGTTGAGTCACAAAATTTGTTAATAATTCCAGTAGATCTTGGATTAGGAAAAGGCCCTTTTAACTTTACCTATTACAAAAATCAAAACTTTGAAAATACCGCAAGTTCACACACCTAATTAATAAGGGTGTCAAAACCCTTTTTTATGCCATTTTATTTAGTATTGCGTTTCAAATTGAAGTTTTAACATGTATTTGAAGTTAAAGTTGAACATCAATTAAATGAATTTAATTGAACAAAAATATTGGATCCAATTTCTCATGAGAGGTCTCGGTTATATAGACATAACACACACCCAAAAATGGAAGGAAGTTTTCTGAGTGATAGATACTAAACCTATTACTTTATTGTAAAAGTGTTTTAACTATTTGAGTATCTAAAAGATACATACAAGTAGCTATTCATAAAGTTAGCCGGTGAATTCAGGGTTTTAAGTTTAAGAATTATATATATATATATATATATATAGTCCAAGATTAAATCAGCACAATTATTTTAAATCAGCTATTTTAATAATTAAAATGTATCGAAGAAAATATTTGTTCGAGATGAGGAGTTTGTGCGTTTTGGTGGGGTGGGGTGCATAAAACTAAAAAGGCATAAAGCAATAAAATCTACGTCTTGGAAAGTAAGATGCATGTTTCAAGTATGGAAAATTGTGAATACTTTTGACAAATATGTTTTTCCCAAAAATCTTATCTCAAAATACTTTATCTATTTCCCATAGAGTTAACCTTCTAGGTACCTTCTTATTAGTCCTACTCCTCGCTCATGTAATAGAAATAAATATTCCTTTCGTCTTAAATTACTTATCGTGTTCTGTTTATATATTTTTAAAAATATTACATTTAACTAATTTTTTTTTTCAATTTATCCAATTAATTATGTTTAAAAGTATAAATATTATAAAGTTTCTCCTTCATTAATTGTAATTTTAATAAATAAGCATGTAAATAGAGTGTATTAAAATGAGATAGATAGGTAATCTGTAAAGAATTTTTATTTATAATTTTTAAGGTGAGTGTAAAGAGAAATTGTAATAAAGAATAGAAGAAGTATTACTTGTTCACTATTTCAAAGATAGATTTTCACTTTTACTTGTTACTTTTAAGATATCAAATAAGTTTTTCTTATTATATTCTTAACATTAATTACTTATTTTTTATATCAGCTTTCAAAATTTAAGGTTATACATTAATTAATATGAGTATTGTAATAAAAAGAATTTAAAGTTCAAAATAGATAAATAAATATAAACATAGGAATAAACAATAATTTGAAATATTTATTTTTTAGAATTTACAGTAAATAATTTAAAACCATGAAAATTAACAAATCAAGCAGGCAGGCACTGTTCTCGATCCATTATCCATTGTTTGTTTATGCAGCTAAAAATAATACTTTCTCTCTGTTATACTTTGACAATTTGATTTTTGACTTAATACAAAATCTAAAATGTAAATAATTTTTTTAAATCTTGTGATTTGAAATTTAAAAAAATGTAAATTGTATCAAAATGCTCTTTAATATGATGATCTTAAACATGTCATAAGTTAAAATTAGAATAATTAAATTAAAGAGAAAAAGACATAAAATCACCATTGAAATTATCCCGTATTTTCATAAAGACACCTTAATTTTGGAAGTGTCCTATCTCTCCACAAAACTTTTTAATATCTTTGTAAATGGGCCATTTTGACTCATTCCCCCGTCTGGATTGCCGCGGGTGATGCTCACTCTTTTCAACCCGTTCTGCTCGACCCGATTCTTTACTAAAGTAAAAAAGTCTTTTTCGTTTGTTATTTCTCAGCTTTCCCAATTCTTCACATTTTCTCGTCTCTCTTGGTGAAATCATTTCGTGCTAATCATCTCCTTGTTGATGTTACTTGGTCAAGATTCTTGGAGGAACAAGGAATTGAATTTGACATTTCCGATCAAAACATAATCACAAAATTAAGAAGAAATTAAATCTTAAAAAACTTCAAATTAACCCTTTCTACTGGAAATTAAAAGTGAAAATGAATTCCTACCTTATTGTGCTTGGGGAAGATGATGAATTCGTCAAAGAGAGTACCAACGTTGATCTTAGCTTGCTTTGAAAAAAAAATGAAATCGTGAAGAGAGGGATACCAATGGGTCTTTTGAGTTTAAATTTGGGGAAGATGATGTAAATTAATTAAATAATTAATAATAGAAAAATAAAGCGACACGTGACACTTTTAAACTGGTTAATGGCAGTGAAAACACTACATCACATGCCTCATGTGCGCAGAGGCGTATCTAGGGGGGGTCACCGGGTTCACGTGAACCCATGGTCCCCTCCCGAGATCATATATAGTAGTGTTATATTTTAGAAAAATTATTGAAATATAGATGTGTGAACCCACACTTGAAGTATCATATAATGCGATTATGACTGGGTGCACCTCTCTCCGCGAGGTTAGAAATTTGAATTTTATATTTATCTTGTTTTAATTTTCTTTCTAAATGTCGAACCAATCAAATTTATATCATAGATCAACCTTTTTTATAATAGTGCACCCATCATCTCAAAATTCTGGATACATCTCTGCATGTGCGTGGTCACGACAATGGATCAAAATGACCCATTTACAAAGATATTAAAAAGTTTTGTAGGGTGACAGGATACTTCCAAAGTTAAGGTATCTTTATGAAAATACGAGACAACTTCAGTAGTGACTTTATATCTTTTCTCTAAATTAAAAAGTTCTTAAAGAGAATTTATTCTATTATAAAATGATCTAAATAAATAAGGAAGACAAACAAATTGAAATCGACCTTATCGGATAATAGTAATTATGTGTTTCTAATGATTCGTTTCTTCAAATTTCAAATTTATTCTACTGGTTTTGGACAGGAATATTCCCTAGTGACATCATGGACAGAAATTGAAAATATTAAACACTGTATTCCATCCTTTCAATTTGAAGTTGTTTAGTAGAATAATATTTTGGCCCTACCTTCCCTCCCCAATTTCTGCTAGATTTGCAGAGATATACCTCTTTGACACACTTCCAAAATAAATAAATTATTTAAATGGACCCCCAACGTATTTGTTCTCTGCTCATCTTGTTCTTCTATTATTTTTTAATTAGATTCCTTCTTATAATGTTTTTTAGTATTTGAAATTCATTTATATTGGTTCACATAGGCAATGTAAAAATTCATACCTGTAATCTACGTGTCGTAAAAGTACATTTTTTGTTATTCTTCATACCACCTTTTCATTTGCTAAAAAGGTTATGTAAAGGACTAAGGTGGCCCATGTTTTTCATTCACTACACATATATTCAAGGCGGAATGATCTGGGAGACTCATGTACTTGAATTCGTTTGTCAATTGAATCCCCCTATTTATTACTTTGCCAACAAAGCTCTTAAGCTCATTAGAACACACCATTTTAATTAAATGAGAAATGATGTTTGATAAGGAACTAAACATGTTTAGGGAAAGAACATATTATGATCACCAGGAAATATAATGTGACAAATGAAATTATTCCTCTTGATTCAAATATTTTTTTATTTCGATTCAAAGAATTAAAAATTTAATCTAATAGAAAATGTTTTCTCCTTTAATGAGTATAAGTTAATTGAGTTAGTGGGTATCGAATACCAATTACTAAATCTGTAAAGAAAGTAGTAATATATACTTCACTAAAAAGTACTCCATTTGTTTTTTTAGGTATAAAATTGTAGTGTGCTGAATCTTATATCAAATGTAAGATTATCATAACACAATATTACGTGAGAATTAAACAGTCCAATTTTTTAAAACTAAAGCATGGAGAGTGTTAATGGAATCAAATCCAGAATTTCTAATCAGCAATGATTAATTGTTGATTTGATGGATAGTTTTGGCCTTTGGTGCAAAAAGGATAGTTTACTCTTGAAACTTGTACCCCATTGCATCATCACACCCTCTTAATTCTTCCTAAAATACATCATCATTTTTAAGAATATGACACGAATGGTCTATGTAATTATCTACCCTTTGACCGTATCTACCTTTGTGCAAAATAATAATAATAATAATAATAATAATAATAATAATAATAATAATAATAATAATAATAATAATAGTAGTAGTAATAATAATAATAATAATAATAATAATAATAATAATAATAATAATAAAAATATTATTATTATTATTATTATTATTATTATGTCCATAAATACCTAATTTTCCCCTCCAACTATATCTAAGAAACAATAAATTTGAACAATGATCTAAATTTGAAATCGATGGGGTGAGTCGAGAATTATAAGATTTCATGTCTAAAATCTTGTAGGGATAAGTATAGATATTATATATTTGATTGGTCGTTCAAAAATAATTATATTCTCTAATTAAATATTATTATTTTTTATATCAAAAGTGTGTATATATATCTAAAAAATATACAATTCTTGATTACTATTTCGTGGACAACTATCTATGTCAATTTCTCATTAAAAAAATATTACTCATTTCGTCTCAATTTATTTGACATTTTTTCCCTTTTAGTCGGTCCTAGACGTTAAAATGTCTAGTTTACCATTAATAATGAGATGACTTATTAATAATAACAACATATTTTAGATCGCAAATTTCAAAAGTCATTTTTTTCTTTCTTAAATTTCGTGTCAAATCAAATTAACACCATCACATATATTGGGACGATGACATATATGATTTTCCCCCCATTTGTTTAAGTTAGAATGGATAAAGTTATTTGGTACTTATATTGGTGCGAACTGCGAAGAAACACATAATCGATGAAATTAATCGAGTCGTATGCAAATCGATACGAACATTAGCGATAATAAAAAAACTAATGAATGAATAAAACC